TCAATCCCTTGTTGTTCATCACAAGACAGACCTCATGCACGCTCCACTCACAGACTGAACCTCCCTCAAGCACCTGAACCCCCTCGACCTCCACAGTATTGTCTTCCGCAGGATACGGAAGGCATTCCGGCTGTGGCGCCCTCAACTCAAGGATCTCGAACCAGAAAGCCAAAGAAACATCGAGGGAAGCGACAACCAGGAAAAAGGATAGCTTCTTCATCTGACAAGTCTCCTGACCCAACCCCGAGCTCGTTTGGTTCCTCTGCGAGTGGACAGTATGGATCTAACTTCCGGTTCCCTTCCCATAGCGAACTCGCTGGTGGCAGCTTGACACTGTTTTCTCGGATGGAAGTCTCATCATGGCTGAAGCGTTTCGACTGGTGGCGTCAAATCAAAGGCATTGACGACACTCAGGCGCTCAACTTCATGAAAGGCTTCTGTTCAGATGCAGTCGTTGCTGGGAAAGTAGAGAGATATACCACGAGTGCCAAGACATGGGGCGAACAGAAGGACCGACTGTTGGTTGCATATCAGCCCTGGGATCATCTCCAAGCATACACACCTGAGCAGGAGCGGCTGAACATCATCAACAACCGTTTCATTACTGATGCTGCGAGCTTGTGGTCATTCGTTGTTGACTATAACAACGCTCTTACCCGTCTCAAGATCAGGGATACTCAGCCTATTGCTGAGGCTTGGATGAAACTCCTCTCGACTTGGATCAAGCGTCTTCGAGCTGACCACGGTATTACCGCTGAGAAGGAGGAGACTCAAGACTAGCTTGCATCTGGCGCTGCAAATCCTCAACTCCATCAGCAGGCGCAATTCCAAGCTCCTTTGGTGCCACCACCTCAACCGATTCCTGACCAGGCGCGACCTGTGCTTGTTTCTCAGCCGACTCATGGTTTCCCCAATCACCCGCCAGCTCAGGTTGGGCAAACTGGGGGGACCATTGCACTACCAACCTCCTCAGCACTCAACCGGCGAATGGCAAGGCCAGCCTGAAGCAACTAAACAGATCCTGAAGCCCGAATCTGTCCAGAAGCCCGAGCAGGGGTTGAACCACTTGGCATCTCTGATGGAGCAACTTCGCATCGATCAGATTGCAATGGCTCACTCTTTGAGACTGCAATCTGAGACTCTCAGACAAACCCGGGATGTCTCATACGATCAGACCAAGGCTCTGCGGGAGATCTCACAGCTGATCAGGCGCCCCCAAACCATCTCTGCAAGGAATCCCCTTCAAGGGAGCACAAACTCTTTGCAGATGAGCACTGCTTATGCGAGCTCCTTGGCGGGGTGAACCAGACAACAACACCCTCGAGGTTCGGGAGATGGACATGAGCGACGACACTACATTCTGGGTCCCAGATATCATTGGCCATGATCCTATACCTGGTCAACCAAGTCCAAACCCAGGAGACATAGATCTGACAACCGAGACCGATGATAATGTCAGGGAAGAAAATAATGGTGGAGACGACGGACGTCTTACACGGGCAAGGGAGAAAGAGAAGCGAGAACAGGAGAAAGCGGATAGAAGCGGGATGTTTATAACAATTCCGACCAAGTCTGCCTTCTTGGCTCGTGGGGGAGGCTGATTTCTTTCTATCCATATTTCCTTTGGTTCGCAAAACACGTTTTCCTTTTGTCTTTCCTATGTTATCTCGTGTGTTTTGCTGGGGGAGGAGGGACGAAGTGTCGTCTGCTACCACCCACTACAGAATACTATAAAATCACCCAAATTTTAAAAGCACCCGGTACAGAGCATGTTGACCAGCTCTGAGACCATTTCACTATGAAGACCGCAGCTGCAGAAACGCAATGTATTGGAATGCAAGGCATGAAAATGCAAAGCGTTGAAGAACGCCGCAACCTAAAAGAACTCCTTCCGACCCCTATGCCAGCTCACCTCGAAGATCGCCAGCCGGTCCAGGAGCAACAATCCAGCTGTCAATGCAGCAAACGGCCAGGCCTGGTCAGACTACTGATGTTCCATTGCACCGAAGATTGAGAAGCAGCAATATCATGCGTTCTAATCTTCCTGACAGACCTCGGCAACCTCATGTGCCTTTGTGGAGTGAGCTCCATAGTCTTGCTCCTGTCAGACCCTCAGTAGGTCTTGAGAATTGGACAGGATTCGAGCATGCTATCAGGATGGATGTGTGGAGAGCAGACTGTGAAAGGATTGAACGGACGGTGGTTCAGAATAGAGAGAGGGCCACTGCTACTGCTGCTGCCCGGGCGGAGTTCGAGAACAGACAGGGACGAAGGGAAGGTCGACATTAGGATGTATCCAGATTGCGCCCGCGCTGCAAACAGATCATGGGCGGATATTGGTAATACTGCGTTGACTTGAGTGAGGACTCAGACAATCAAACTGGGTGCAGAGGTCGGATTGCGAAATGGTTTGGGTTGCAGTGCTTCCTTCGACAGCTTGCGATGGATTCTTTAGTTCTTTCTTTTCCTTTCTATCTGACCAGACCTGGCACACCATTGGACTTGTCGCAACTTTGGAAGAAAGTTGCTGGGGGAGGACTGTTGTGGTGGCCAGGGTGGTAGTCCGTGGGACATGGAGTACAGTGGGTCAAGGGTCCTCATACATATAAAGGATACCACCCACTTTTCAAATTCTTTAGCTATAAGCAACAATCAAGCATCCTTTTCTCTTCTTTTCAATTTTTGAACCCCTTGGACAGGTCTAAGACAGGTTTTTCACCCTGTTCTTGTGCCCGTGTGGCCTTAGTTTGCTGTCCTCATCTGTACAGGCACGCTTGGGTTGCATGAGCCCTTGCCCATTGCTTCGGCAGCTGTTTGTCCCTTTTTCTTTCGAGGGCGACGGCGCCCTAGTTCTGGTTCAATGCTTAAATAGCTTCAATTGCTTTCTGCATATTATCTTCCTTAGCTGCAATTATTCTTAATTGCATTTCAAATGCTTTCTGAGGGAATTAGTTTTCAGTTTATATAAGAACTCTCTATATCGAGATTTCAGTTTCAATTAGAATAAGCAGCTCCCAACTGAAAATCAAATAGAAGAAGCTGTATTTATACAATTAGCGGATTGTAATTCTTTTAGTAAAAAGTATAAGTTTCAAATACTGCTTTCATTTTCAGAATTGAATATTAGCTAGCTTAGCAAGAGCACTTGCTAAGGAAAGATAACTAGCTTCTACTTATTCTTAAGCATAGAGATTGTAACTAAAGATCTGAATAAGCAGGATCTTAAGAGCTCTAATAGTCTTAGCTATTTCAGCCTTGTTTTCTAGTTCTCTATTAATAGTAATTTTGAAAGAGCATTCGAATATAAGAATAATTTCTTCCAAAATGAACTTTCTTATTTCTGCAGCTATAGCTTTCTTAAGAAGTCTTGCAAGTATATAGCTAATTAGATTATAGCAAGCCTTTACAAGATATCTGTAATTGCTATTCTCAGCTATATATTGAATATTAATACTAATTCTTATAAAGAATTAACTTGAAAGAATTAGAATTACTTCTTTCTTTCATATCTTTGAATTGAACTTTGTATACTTCTTGCAATCCGAGATAGTATTAGCTATATCTATTCAGAGATCTCTTTAGTAATAGAGTTGCTTAATATGAGCTATTATAGAATCTCGATCTCGATATTCAAACTTAGCATAATATTCTCTAATAATTCAGCAATGAAGATTAGAATTATCTACTACTCATTAGCATAGAAGTTTCGTATCAGTGCAGCGCTACAGAGCCTGATTAAATACTTAATGCTTTAATGCTTCTATTATAAAGTTCTTGCAATCTCTCTTGGAAAGTTTTAATAGAATGATTCTGTAATATAAGAACTCTGCATATTATTTCGATTATTCTATCCACTGAAAAGTTAAATTTAGCAGTAATACTAGATTAGCTTCATCTAAGTTTATACTGTTAAGCTGAGCATTATACTAGTTCTTAATATTGCTATTTTTATCTTTCTTAGATAGCATTAAATATAAAGATTAAGAAAAAGCATTAGCTATAGAATTCTTTAATTCAGGAATATATTTAATAGTAAAATTAAATATCTTAATTACTGCTACTTATTTATTCAGAAGAGCACTAGATATATTATTCATTTCTCTATTGAATTAGTTTATTAGAATGCAAGCATTAGTTTCTAGAATGAAATAGCAACTATAAAGATGCTGCTAAAGAGATTATAAAGCATAGAGAATAGCGCAATACTTTCTCTTAGTAGCATTATACTTCTATGCTGCAACTATTCAGATTCTGCTAATGAAATGTACTAGCTTTTGTTTATTCTCTACTATCTATATCAGTATAGCGCTTTAGCTTAATAAGCTTGCATTTACTATAAGAACAATCTTCTCAGTATTAATGCTATAATTAATTGAAATAATAACTGAATGAGATATGAGTATTCGGATAAGTATGATAATAGCTTCTTTCTATTTCTTCTTTCATCTTTATACAATACTTTTCTTGAGAAGATTATAAAGTAATTGAATAATAATTACAAAGTTCCAAATTCAAGCTGTATAATAAATGATTAATCTAATGAAAGAGCGAATGTTTTTGATATTCTTGCATTCTATTCAGATTAGAAGCTTTTCCATTTTTCTGTTCTGAGATTATTATCTGCTAAAACTAATAATATAATCAACTATATTAACTTTTACTTAGCATTATTCTGATTTGAATACTGAGATCGTGATTTTAGCTAGCTCTGTATTTACAAGAATCTTGTTAAGGTTTCCGATATACTTAGCAATGTATTTATATACTTTGGAAAAGCTTGGAATCTCTTCATTCCTATAGATTGTTATAAAATTATAAACAGGAATGTTATTAAGAAAAAGCTGATATATATGAGGAATAAGATTATATAAAAGTTTAATTATTATTCTTATAAACTAAGCAATAGAGTTAGTAATACTCTGGAATAGAGTATATATTCTAAACAGGCTTAAGAGTATTAAGAAGATCATTATATTCTTGCTGTTAGAATGCAGTTATACTTAATTATATCTGGAAAAGAAGTTAAGCAGTGAAAGAATTTTGCATATAGCAAACTTCTTCGAGAATTCATCTGAGGCAGGCAGCATAAAGGCATTCTTGAAGCTATGCTTGTTATACTTTTGAGCATTATTGATTAGGTATAAGCTACTATTCTTTTTGATAATAAGAAACTAGTTATTTCTATATAATGTATAGCTTTTCTCAATAATTTCCCGCTTAATATATTATTTCAGAAGCTTTATTAACTTTAGCTTAAGAGTATTAGAGATTGAAATATGCTTTACTTAAAAGATTTCGTAGGATATAGTTCTGATTTCTTGCAAGAGAGCTACTTTCTTAATAATCTTTCCAATTTCAATAAAGTTTTATGCAAGAGCTTTAATTCTGTTTTTCAATATATATTTAAATATTTCCTTCTCAGCTTTAGAAAATCCTTTATAGTTTTTCTTTTGTATAGCAGCTTACTGATTAGATCTTAGATACTAATCAGAATTTAGATTGCTAAACTTGGGTTTAATCTACTCATCATACTTAGTAAGCTTTGTAGATTGCTAAGCTTATCTCATTTTCTCAACCTTAGCAAGCTTCTATCTGATCATTTCTTCTAATACTGAACTATTAGGCTGAGAATCATTAATTAGCTTGATCTTCTTGTTTTTGAGCTTATAAAGAGTATTGATCAGGCTTAAAACATCTTTTCTTTCCTTTCTCATACAATGTAGCTAGCGTGAATAGCGCTAGCTGCTATGCATTTCATACAGGCAAGACTCTCGGGTTGCTTCTTTCTCATTCATTATGGAGCAACTTTCCTTCAACTTCCTTCTCATCAGTTCTACTATTAACTCGTTTATAATAGCTGCAATATTTCATTCAGATATGAATATTACAGCTATATCTCCCTCTTTCAATAATATCTACTCTGGAATAACTTTTCTGCTAATAGCTTTGCATTTCTCAGAATAGCTGCTAGCACTTAGTTTTTTGGTATAGTTCTATATAAACTCTTCTCTTTAAGAAATTTCTGATTGCTGATTATAATAATTAGTTGTACTCCTCTAAAAGCGAAGCTTATATGAAGAAATCCGGGAATGAAGTAATTAAAGGAAAGCTTGATTTGTATTATAAATAGCATTTCTAATAGTATAGAATAATTTAGCAATATCAATCTATTATTAATAATATAGAATATTATTTATTTAGAGAAGCTGCTACAGAAAATATTAGTTTCAAGAACTCTAATAAGTACTATATCTGATTTATTATACATATATAAGATAATATTCAATGTTAGCATATAAAACAAATATATGCTTGAATATAGAGAGAGAGCTATCAAGCTTATTTCAATATCTGTATCCAGTATTGCTTGTATAGATTCATTCTCTTTACTTCTCAGCTGCAGAGGAATATATGCTACTGAAGCAATGCTTCTATCTCGGATGCTGCTGAGAGCAGTTATGAAAGCTGTTACAGAAGGAAATGAGAATTTGTTGAAAGCTTGAATCATATTAACAGTAAGCTTAATATAGCTAGATTCAGCAATAAGAAATAAAGCTTGAATTGCAGGTAGTTAAGCTAGTTTTGAAAGATACTCAGTAATATTCCGAGTATTAATAATCTAATTATTAATAAGCTCTTTAAGCTGGAAAAGCATCAAAATTCTAAGTTTATGCTGCAATAAATTAGCTGATTTAGCAGTATCTATCTTGTATAGATCCAAGCTAGTTTGATTATTAAGATTAACAATTTTTCGAGCTTCAGAGCTGATTCCTTGAAAACTATAAATCAAATAAGCTTTTCATTCTAGTAATATAACTATTATCTCTCAGCTTGAAATCTTTAATAGATAGTTTAGAAACTGATTCAGAAGCTTGTTACTAATAGCTTAAACTATTAGCTTTCTGTTCAGACTGTTGAATTGCTTATTGAATTTCTCTGATTCAATATTTCCAAAATATATAGAAATCTCAATAGTTCTTATACTTGTATCTCCTTCAATCTTACTATTATTATACTTAGCTTCTTCAATACAGCACTTCTTTGCTTCATCTGCATTTACCTGAGCTTGAATAAGCTCAATACTTATAGCATTAATACTAGAAAGCTTTGGTAGATACAGTTCAGCTTAAGCTAAAGTAAGATATAATTTTCCTACTTGAATCTTATTAGCATTGCTAAGAATCTCAATATTATTAATCCTATACTGATTATTGTATTTGAGAATGGAATTAGTTTCTTCTTATAGTATCTTATTCTTAGCTATCTTAGGATTTCTATACTATTTCTCATTCTTTTGAATCAAGCTAATATATTAAAAGATTCAAGAATTCTTAATACTCTTTAGCTGCTAATTCTTATAGAAACTAAGAATTAGATAGATTATATTGCTTTTGGAATTATCTCAAGCAGATATAATCTAGCTATATAATACTAGTTTTGATCTAGAGTTCAGAAACTCCGAGCAATTACTAAGATGCTACTTTAGCTTTGCTAATGCTAGAATATAGCAAATGCTACAATTCATAATAGTATGGAGTTTCATGCATTTATAAGCTTCATAGAACTTTAATCTATAGCTATAGTATCTGTGCAGAGTTCTATTCTTCTTTAGGATTTCATTAATCTCCGCTTGCTATGCTTCAGAATATTGCTTATTCTTATCTTTCGAACTTGTATAGATAATACTTATCTGCAAGGAATTTGCATTTCTCTGGAAAGGATTTTTTGTAGAAACAGTTTGGAAATGCTTGATTAGTTATAAGATTTCTTGTAGAGCTTTGGTTTGATTATATAAGATATTCTGTATTTGTTTGAAAGTATTAGTTTGCAGCTTTAAGGATTTTGCTATTGCAATTTAGTTAATGCGGAATTGTTTTATTATTGAAGCTAATTAGTTGTATTTTTGATTGCTTTTCTAAGCAGATTCAGCTTTTAAGATCTGCTTAGTTAGTTTAAGCTAAGCTTGCTAATTATGAGTTGATTATTAAAGCGGTTAATAGTATGATAGCTTTATTGCTTATTCTAACAGATTCATTAGTTGATTAGAAGTATTATATATTGAATATAGAATAGAAATGAGCTGTATTTGGTTAAGGATTAGCTAAGATGGAAGTATAGAAGAATCTTGGAATTAAGCCTGTTGATAAAGTTAAAGGTTAGTAATACTAAAAGCAAGTTAGTCTTAAGTCTTCTTCTGAAATGCTTTATAATGAACCTTTAACAGCTTTTTCATAAGATAAGGCTACTTCTTGTTGCTGATGCTTTTAGTAGTAATATCATAATTAGCTTGGAAATGCTTAATTCAGATTGAAGAGAGCTTTATTCATGCTTCTGCTACAGATTGATTATCTCTAATCTTAAGATAAGTAAGAGCATTATTATAGTTTACAATGAATAATTAAAGGCTAGCAGTATTAGTAATGAAATAATTGTTAATAATATTCAAGCATTTCTGCTTAGAGATATATGCTTGAAGATAGTTTTAAGAATAATAAGCAATTAATAGTTGCTTTTTCTATTCATTCCAAGTTTTGATGCTTATAATGAATCTTTTTATTTCTCTAATAATAATTATATCTGTATAGAAGCTTTTCATAAAGTTGAGTATTTGAGTATTATTAATCCCTTTGATCTAATGCTACTAGTTGAATTGCTTCAGCTATAAGGAGACTTTCATACAAGCAAATAATATCAATCTACTATTAGCAAGCTTACTGTAGAAGAGAAATCTGAAGTTCTAACTATAGTAATTATTAGCTAGATAGTTAGCTGAATTGGATATCTGATTGAAAGAGCTTTCAGATATAAAAGCTATTTTCCCTCTTGATTATTGCTTTCTCCGATATTTCTTTGCTTTCCTAGTTCGAGATTCTTGAATTGAAAGCACTACAGCTAGAATGCTTTTCATATCCTGCAGAAAACAATACTGTAGAGATCGAGAGAGTTCAGATGCTTAAGAGAGATTCAGTTTATAAGTAGAGCATGTATAAGATCTGTCTTGTAATGAATAATAAGAGATTGAATTAGCTATTCTATACTATACTAAGATTTTCTTTATTAATAGTTCTGCTAACTAATAGAAGTATTTTTAATTAGATATAAAATATTAATTAAAGTTTAATATTGAATAATATTGTTATAATTCTCAATCTTTATTTCTTATATGCACTAATAGTTTCTTATCTTCACTTTTCTATATTCTTTGCTTTTGGAATAATATAATTAGCAAGCTTTTGATTTAAAGGATTAATATAGCTAGATATATTCAGATAGAGCATACTGATTGGATTATTATAAGAAGCATAGATCTTATTAATCATGCTACTTTTCTCTGCAGAGTACTATTTATTAAAAGCATTTCATTTTATAATTTAATTATAAATCTACATTCAATATAATTAAACTTTCTGCTGCAGCTTGTATAAATCTGAGCTATATCAGCTTCTGTATAGAATTGTTGATTAATGTAGAAAATATTGGAAAAAGGAATTTATTTCTTTATAATATTAGCTTGCAAGCTTAATGCATTGTTCACCAGCCTATAATCAGAACTCACATCACTTCTTCTCTATTTATCTATCTCCTTTCTACAAGAGATCTTAAGCATGATTCAGAGTTCAGATATAATGCATAGCCTGTTATATAAGCATAATAGATAAAGGAAATAAAAGAGCTTAGCAGGGAAAAAGAGTGCATCTATTTATAAAGTAAACTTGCTGCTCTTACTAATTCTTACAAACTGTAATGCAAATAGCTCTGAGCTATCAGCCTGAACAGCTAAGTCCACACTTACTATATTATTGAATCAGAACTAGGGCGCTGTTGCTCTTGAAAGAAAAAGGGATAAACAGCTGCTGAAGCAATGGGCAAGGGCTTATGCAATCCAAGCGTGCTTGTACAGATGAGGACAGCAAACTAAGGCTATACGGGCGCAAGAACAGGGTGAAAAACCTGTCTTAGACCTGTTCAAAGGGTTCAAAATTGAAAAGAAGAGAAAGGATGCTTTATTGTTGCTTATAGCTAAAGAATTTGAAAAGTGGGTAGTATTCTTTATATGTATGAGGACTCTTGACCCACTGTACTCCACATCTCACGGACTACCACTCTGGCCACCACAACAATATGCTTAATGATTTTATTGAAAGCTTTTTATGCTTTGGAGGTTTACTTG